AAGAACAGGAAAAAGTGTTAGAGCAGAAAAGAAACAGGAGGAGGAAAAATGACAAAAAATACAGGAAAAAGGTACAGGCGTGTGTCCAATGCCAGACATTTGGGAAGGTGGAACAGCAAGTGCCTTTGCTGGGGCTTTGTGCAGGCAAGAGGCAAACCTAATAGAAAGTCGTAAAGGACCTTTGGACTGTGTATCTCTGGTACGAATCTGCGGCTTTGCGCTCTCTTGGTGCTCTCACCGTGGCCTTTTGCCGGCCTATTTGGGGATGCCAGTGGGCTAATTCAAGTGGTTGACAGGCTGGATAAGTGTCTGCTAGTTGAAGGGGAGCTCCACAGTCCTGCTGGAAGTGCTTCTGCCCTAGAGGTTTTCTTTAATAAGGTTAAATGGCAGCCGAACTGGAGTGGGGCGGGATTAGACTTTGGTGGTGGTTTTTTTTCCCCCTTGAACAAATTATTTTCTAACTAAAAAGGTAGAGGCTGGAGGAGGCCTCAAGGGAGCCTCTGCCTGCTCCTGATGACCAGCCAGATGGTGTTGGATGTAGGCCTTCTTCAGTACCTTGGGTGCATAAAGACTGCCATTCCAACTGCTGCGAATAAAAGTAACACCTTCAAGTAGAGCTTTGTTCATTATCTTAGGGGAAAGTATCATCATTTGAAAAACTTTCTTATGATATGCAAGATTCTGCCAAGACCTTTTTCTTCTGAAAATGAGGTTTGTTTAGGCTGAGCTTTCATGATTGCCTAAAGGCTTTGGATGGCCAGTTCTTAGAAAATGTGGTGGTAATCAGGTTTCAAAATACTATACACAATTTTGATACTCTTATCCTTAGTTTTTACAGGAGGACAAACAAAATAAAGGTTTGTAGCATTGGTTGAGACATTTAAAAATATCTCTTAGGATTATTTACGTAATTGCGGTTTCATAACTGCGTGATGCAGCCTGTTAGCCTTGATGAATTGTTTACTCTGCCTTCTAAAATTTGCTGTACAGGAAAAGGGGGTGGCAGCAGGGAAAAATCTCTCAAAGCTGTCACTTGTTTTTTTTGTAGTAAACTGCAACTCTAGTTCCTCACTTGAAAATAAGACACACCTGAAAAGTTTACTATGCAATAGGACTTCACAGAGAGCGACACTGCATCAAATTTTTCTGTACCTTTACAAAATGCAACATGACACAAATGTTTCAGGTCAATGACTAATGAACATAACATCGTTCAAAAAAACCAAATCTGTTTCTTTCACTGTTTTCTAAAAATTTTTTTTCCACTTTTGAATTTTTTTTACTGCACTGGGTGATGCTGAAACAGGAAGAGAGCTTAGAAGACCTGGTTTGCTTTTCTAGAGGTTTTCCTTACAGGTCCTGTTTCAGCACAGCACTGAGGCCAGAATGGTAAAGGCATTCCAGCTTTTATTTCCCTTAAAACTGATGGGAAGTTAAGCACCCAGCTACCTTGATTGTATATGGCCCTGTATGTCCCAGTGCAGATGCTTAAAGTTACAAGTGTTTTGCTGAGCAAAGGATTTAGCCTTAATGGGACAAGCAGTGTGACAGGTTTTCATGAAAAGGTGCAAGCAATGAAGTTTTCTGAGGGGCCAGTGGTTTTATTTTTGTGAGTTTGCATCACTTTTCTTCATCAACATTTCTGATAAATGTGGGCAGGATTACTTTTGAGTCTTGAAAGCCCACTCTGTGCATGGTGCTCAGTAAGCAGAGTTCCCCAGAGAACAGCAAATGACACATTTGAGCTCCTATTGGTTCTTGTTTATTTTCAAGAAGGATTTTTTTTTTTCCAAATTCAGAGCTTTATGATAATAGAATTTTTTTAATCCAATTTTACTCCCTCTGGAAATGCCATGCCTTATTTACAGGGATAGACAAGCCTGTTATTTCAGGTCAGACTCCATGCTTCAGCAAGGTGATTATGAATATACATGGCTTGATATGTAAGTTATCCGCTAGGTGCTTTGTGTGTATATTCAGTATGATATTCCATAGCTCTTTAAACATGCAAACCAGCTTCAGTTATGCCTTTGGGTTCTGTTTATGATTAAAAAAAGTATTATGGTCCAGGATCAGATGAATAAATCTGTCTAACGCAGCCTTTCCTTGATTTGAGGCCTCAGTGATCTGTATTGTTACACTAGTTCAGGCTGCTGGTAGGAATATGTTATATCCAAGTGAAGCGTTTACATTGGCACTTAAAATCAAGGGAAGGAGCTGCTGCACAAAGCATGATTCGTACATGTTAGCGCTCCTAAAGAGGATGGTGACAGTAGTCTGATGATCTGTGGCACATGCTAGACCTACTGCATTCCTACTGCACAGCACATGCGTGCCTGGTAACTGTGAGGCATCCAGAGTGTTTGGCTTATTGTGTGAGCAGTGCAGAGTTGCTCTGTGCATGCAACCTGTCCATATTGTGGCACGTCTGGATATCTGGCAGCCCTGGCTAAAGGGCATCAGAAAACATCTGCATTATTATTATCAAGAGGTAGGGTAGTGTGATGTTGCTGAGATGCTCCTTATCACCGTGAACAGCACAATGTGCATGAGGTACTGATGTAAATATTTTTGTGGTCAGGACTTGCAGGCAGCAGAGTTCGAAGGCCCAGAGTGGAAAAAGGTCAACTGAGTTGCTCCTCTCCTATTTTCCATTCATGTATGATTTATTCTTTATTTCTCTGTAAAGCCAGCGTGTTATATTCAGCATAGCATGTTCCTATTGTGGTAATGCAAAGCCAGAAGCAGAACAAGCAACAGCAGTGCAATAGATTAGAAGAGAAATCTGTCCCTCTTGCCCCATAGTCTCCGACCAAAGTTAGGAAAAAGGTGTTTTGCTGCTTCGGCACTATTCAGAATCTCACAAATGCAAAGTAGTGTCTCTGCCCACATGCCAATATTTAACTGTGAATTTTGCAGTCAGCTTGGCAGCTTTTCGAAGCGTAGGGCATGACTTTCGTCCTCCAAGAGGCAAAAAGTACCAAGGTCCAAGTGAGCTTCCAGGATCAGAAATAGTGTAATCACATCGGTGGCTTGCAGCATGACTACTTAAGAAAGGCATGGACTTGGAGTCCTTTAGGAAGGATGCATCGCGTGTTGTTGAGATAGTTACTCTAGTTAGTTACTTAGCTGCAAAGAGAAAATAACAGTCACAGGACGTTTCTTTGGCGTGTTTGTGCTTCTTCAGGTGATGTTTTACTTGAGTGTGCTGATATCTGTGCATTCAGAGGAAATGCAGGCGGTTCTTGCTTCTTTCATCTGCAGAAGGCAAGCTTATCTCTGGGAAGCTGGGTCCACAGAAGGGGCAGCATGCAGCAGAGCGCATGTTGCTGCATTTTTGTGCACAGCTGTGTTGGTTCAGACGTGTGTGCCATGGCCATGCTGCAAAAAAGCATTGGTCAGCCCCGCTTTCAGTAAGCGAGCCATTTATTCATGGAGGCTTTCAGTAAAAGTGAAGCTTAGCAAATAAATGACTAGCTAGAAAGAGAGCCTTGACTCTCCAAAGAGTTGCAGAACCAGCTGTACTGATAATTGATTATCAACTGAGTTATAATTTGTAACCCGGAGATATAAACTTTACAGTTCTTTAATGATAATTTATCATGTGCACAATAAATTAATGTTGAAGCCGATATTTTACTGGTATAAATATTGACATAAATCTACACTGATTCATGCCAGCTGAAGAACGTGCCACTGTGCCCTTTGAAGGAATATGCAGCCAGCCTGGCTGATTGCTTTCAGGTATTCACTGATGTCTGGGATATGGACAAGATGACTTCTTCTAGTGTCTTTCTGTGCCACGTTCACAGTTTTCTCTCTCCTCTCTTTCCTTGTTCTCATAACAAGATGTGAATTCTCCAAATGTTTAAATCTGTAGATAGCAAGCTATGTGAACAAATTTGCCTCGGACATCTCTATCTTGCAACGGTCGCTAGCGATCCTGGAATCAATGGTGCTCAATAGCCATGACCTGTACCAGAAGGTGGCACAGGAGATCACAATTGGGCAGTTAATCCCACACCTCCAAGGGTGAGTGTCTTCAGCAGCAACCTGATGCGGTGGGATTTTTTTCCTCAAATAAGCACAGCATTTAGAAGAATGGCTTAAAGACTAGCAACCTCCTGTATGGCTTTCACATCCGTTATCTGTGGCTGAGTGACCAGTAACCAGCTTTCTGGGGTTGCTCAGTCACCAGCAATGAGAAAATGCTTAGTGATATTAGCATACAGGTTAGGTTTTGCTTGCCAGCCTCTGGGAAATGGATAAGACAAAACCTGGTCATCTTTTGCTGAAGGTATATTGGAGAAGGGAGAGGGCATTTTCTTTAACAGTAATGTGCTGTTGTTACATGCATGAAAAGAAGCTGCCTCTTATAACGCAAGGGTAGCGTATTGTAAACTAGTTACGCTCTTCTCGCAGCTCAGAAATTTTCCGCTTGTCTAAAATGCTTTTAAAGCAGACATGTTCATTTGCAGAGCGCTTTGGGGAAGATTGCCCTTCCCTACCTTCAGCTGTGGAGCATCTAGCATAAGTTTCTCCTGCTCTAGTCAATGGAGGGCCAAGGGTACTGCTAGAGACTGAGTCATTCCCCCTTCCCTAGATGCTGAATCTCCCTCTAGAGCATCCTAGCTCTTATTAATCATAGATATATAACTTGGATGATTAGCTTTGACTAATTACCTAACTTTGACATGCTTAACATGAAGTGCAAACAGTCCCTCCACTTGTAGCTGCAGTTTGTCACTTCCAAGTATGATGCAAGTAGAATAATAGTTTGTACAGCTTTCATGCATACACTTTCATCTCTCATGTTTATAATTTTGTTCCAAACAGGACAGATCAAGAAATCCAGACGTATACCATTGCAGTAATAAATGCACTTTTCCTTAAAGCACCGGATGACAAGAGGCAGGTAAGTTGTGTTTTGTTGTAAAACTACACATCTGCTGGAAAAAGTGGATCATAGTCAAACCTGTAGTTGTCCCTCTCACAACTTTTCTGCTGTTATTTCTAACTGATACTTACTCTGCTTCTGGTTTCACTTTGTCTTCTACTGGTATAATGTCATTAACTTTAATGGAGTTAACTCCATCTTGCACGAGTAGTAGTAACTGAGATGAAGCATTCTGCTATGCTTTTGTAGGTCAGTGTAACCTCACATGAACCATATTGACTGTGGCTGGCCGTGGTATTTATTGTCCTGAACTCTTTGCCAGCACAGCCTGTAAAATCAGATGTTTTTTTGGTAAATCATTCCCCCACCAGATTTCTGAATAAAAAATATATATTTTTTTTTAAAAATGGGAATATCTTGCCATGTAAGCATTTCATAACATCATAGTTTGCTATATTAAGTTAACCTAATGCCAGAGATGAGAAGCCTCCTCAAAAGGAAGTATTTCAAGATTACTAATTGCTGTTAAATGAGGATGAAACGTGGTGTATCCATCCAAAAAGGGCAGTTTTATCCATGTTTATCACAACATCAGCCTATGTCAAACAGACTTAGTCATTTATTTACTTAACACTTAATAATTCTTGTGGTGACATATTGCTAGTATCCAGAACAAATTCAGTGGGAGTTGTTAATTATTGCAGATTAAGGCTTTGCTTAGATTTATTATGTTTTTAAATGTTGGAAGTTGTTTAAACAAACATCAAAAACCTAATGGATCGTTTTTCTTCTTGCTTCAAAAATATTTTGAAAAATTTTCTATATTTAATATAAGATTCTATAAACAAGTCAAACTAAAAAGCTTGGTTTAGTTTCAAGTAGACCTTTTTTTCTGTCCCATTGTTTCCTTCTTCCTCCAATATAGTTGTTATTTATTAAGGGAAGAAGGGACTTAATGACCAAAAATTGGAATGAAAACTTTAGACTTTTTCAGTTTTGACATAAACCCATGATAGGTGCTTGCAAGAAAAACAAAGATTTCATTCTTTACACTAAGAAATCATTGCTGCTACTTTAGGTTGCGAAAACTTTGTCCTCGTTTGGGGCAGTTCAGAGAAGTGTTTGAGCCATGTCCGAAGTTGAGCAATGATCTCAGATGCTGATAAGACTGGTGAGCAGTGGGCGTGTGCTCCTGAAGATGACAATGCCGTAGGGTCTTCCCAGAAAATAAAACTGTATTTTGCAGACACTGTAACCTTCTAGCGTGGTTGATGAGATTGTCGAAGGCATTGCACTAGGATTGACCAAGAGCAGGTATTTGTGAAAAAGTGTGTGCCACAACCAGAACATGTGAGAAACATCTGCCGACCACCAGAAACGGCATGGCAAGTTCTGTGCCCAAACATGTATGATTCTAGGAGCTTTGGCACCCTCCCTATTGCTGTGCTAGGGGGATCCAGTGTGATGTGGATGGTTGCCCTGGATTTAAGGAAGAGATTTAAATTGATGCTAGAGTCTGAATTTCTTTCCCTCCTCCTCCTCCGCTGTGTATTTTCTTTTTTTAAATGAGAATTCATTTCTTGCTTTGCTTCCTCGGCCAAGGACCAAATCATCTAGAGAAACCTTATTTACAAAGGAAAAAAAAGTCTTTACGTATCAGAAAAAAGCTGAGAGTTTGAGCAGGGAAAAGTTACTGTGAATATTTGAAGCACTTTGATTTTTTTGGCAATTGTCTGCATTTTTGCAGAGAGATGTTGTTGCTATGGAAAATGAGGTGGAAAATTTTGTCAGATAATTCTTGTTCACATCTGTTACTACAATACTTATTTTAGAAGAGGCAGCTTATCAGCTGCTGATGGCTGATAGCCGCCTTGGAGACAAAAGTTGATTGATTTTTTTTTTTTTTTTTTTTTTTCCCCCTTCCTCCTCCCCTTTCCCCCCAGGTTTTGTGAATGCATGTCCCTCCTATCACAGATTTTGGTCTAGGGACCAAAAAAGATATCCCAATAACAGTCTTTTAACTTCCAGGTATAAGAATGAAGTGCCGATTTGATTATCCTTTTCAACAAGTAAAATAAATTCTTTACCTTGAATGCAGGAAGAACTGCCTCATATGCTTTCCATCTTTTTTGCAGTGGCTATACTTTGACAAAACTGACCAGGTCTCCCTAACCTGAAATATGTCGTATTCCTGGTACTCCCCCTTCAGTTCAGCTGCATATTTCCAAGAGCAATGAAGGCATTGGTATCATTCATTCCTTTGCTGTAGGTGTAACCTAAACCTGCCCTGCAAGCAAAGGCTTGAAAAGAAAAGCCAAATTTCTCCTGTCTCTCTCCCCCCTTCTTTCTTCTTATCCCCTCCACGTTCTGTCACAGCACCTTTCTTCTGGTGTAAAGGAAATGGTCAATGCCCATGGCTGCCTCCTGTCTCGAATCAGAGCAGTTTTTTTGTGCAAGCAAGTTGTCACTGTAACATTGCTCCGTTTACGTTGTTTCTGCAACTTGGCTTCAGTAATGCAGCTCTTCATGGGTTTTGTGTGATAGTTTTCCTGTTTTCCAGTTTCTTGTTCAGTGTACAGATTAACCAATATATACTTTATATTACTCTTTAAATCTTACAAAAAGCAGCAAAAATTTTTTTTTAGTTATTTCTTCTAAATCGGAACGGTACCTTGACTTTGCGTCAACTGCAGAGAACCTCAGTGCATTGTAAAAATGTCCTACAACCTGCAAGTGCTGGTGCTGATATCGTTATGTTGTGCTGTATTATGTAGGGCTGTGACACATGGGCTGTATCTCCAAATCTCCAAACAATCCTCCACTATTTCCAGACGTTGCCCCAATGCGTACATATCAGCAGTGTTTAAATAGTAGTGTGCAATATTTTACCAAAATTATCCAAATTATTCAATTGTATAGTTTGAAAGCAAGGGTTGTGTGCATTGGTGCATGTATTGCATATGCTAGCATGTGTCCGCATATACACACCTGTTTCTGTATATATAGAAAAGATCATAGGCCTTAAAAATAGGGTGTGCGGGTCTGGCTCGGGAGACTAGGCTCTGCTGCTGGCTGATCAGGATATGGCTGGCTGATCCTATGCAGTATAGGGCAGTTTGCTGCACAGATAGCTGAGATTAGATGCTGAAGAATGAAGGCAGAACCATATCCTGGTTGATAGTGACTTTGCAGTTAGGTCTAGGAAGGAAAGACAAAAGAAAATTGGTCAACCAGCGTCAATACTGCTGCCAAAATACAGGGGAGAAGAGTTACTTGCTGTGGTGAAATCGCAGTGAGTTGTAGACTGATTTGTTGGCTCAAAGTTAAAGCATTAAACTTTAAAGCAGTTGAAATATTAATGTGCGTATGCATACTGTTTGGCATTATTTTGTTTTAAAAGTCCTGGCTGACAGGTTAGAAGCATTTTTTGCTTCCTTCTCTGTGGTTTTCTTGTTTTTTGGGACTTGGGGAGGTTGTGCTTGAATACGTGTATGTAAACATTTGGTTTAACCCACAGAGTTCTTTCTAAATGGTGTTTTATTGCAGTTTTTGGATCACCAAAGTCTGCAGCTTGTGATACACTTCTCGCTTTCTTTGCCTTTTTCTCATGTTAATCTGAGTTTGTGACACTAAAAATAAAATAACACATATATAGTTGACATGCTGCTTCATATCATTATAGGAAATACTGCAGAAACTTAAGACTCTAACCTTTTAAATTCTGTGTTCTTTTAAGTATGGTGCTGAAATACCTACTTCTGGGTAATTATTGTTATTATTTTTTTTAACCAAAACAGGAAATGGCGAACATTTTGGCACAAAAACAGCTTCGCCTCATCATCTTAACTGTAAGTATACTATTTCCAAGATTATTTTTCACTAGGAGAGAGAAAAGCTGACTCAAGTTTTGATATGCATAGGCTTTATCTTCATTTTTTAAATTATTTTTGTATTTCGATATGTTTTGCAGCTTATGATGTACAGGGTAAAGGCCTGCTTGTTGAATGAATTCAAAACTGATTATTAGAGCGAATTTTTTTTTTTTTCCCAGTCAAGTAACTTGTCATGTCTTCTTGAAAAGAAGACCATTTTCATTACCCTAATGGAAGATGTGAACTTTATCCTGCAGTCTAGGGAATGTCTGAGAAATTTATGGTAAATCCTCTATGTTAGGGTTTGGACCTGATGAAGACCAAGCAAGTTGCCCAGGACTTTCAGTCTAGCAAAACGAACCACTAAGTTTTTTGGTTCTAGAGATGATTCTATGTGTCTTGTTATTGGGTTGCACATAATTTGTGTAGTGTAGTATTGCACAAAAGAAGCATGAAATTAATAGAAGTAGTATAAAGGACTTGCTTCTCCTATCATGGAAAATCACAGGGATTTTGCCCTTGACCTTAGGGTAGATTCGATCTTCAGAGGAAAGGATTTTTTTTGAAAGGGGCAAGTTCAGTATCTGTTATGAGATACTAGTATGCACTAGTATCACTGCACTAGGCAGTGTTTTAAAGGAAAAAAAAAAAAAAGAAAAGAAAAAAAAAAAAAGGAAATCTCGCTCACCTGCTCACGCTCACGATTTCAAAGGTCTGCATGCAAAAAAACAGGGAATTTCTATTTCAGAAGGTGTATCTTTGCCCTGATTGTTATCCATATGCTTGCGAATACGTTCTTAGGTGTTTGTTTACTGTCATAAAATGCTCCCCTGCCTTTTCCCAGAGAGATTCTTTCTCCCTTGCAGTTGTTATCTCTCTCCTACCGAGTGACTTTGCTTACATATGCATAGCAATGTTTAGTGAGCTGGGTGTGTTTCCCCTATGGAATTCCTCGGTATTTGGGAGCAAACCAGAGATTTAAAAATTGTCCATCAGTTTGATGTCTGCTTTGTACCTGGGGCAGTTCTGTGTTGCATGTATGGGACATTGGATTCTAATGTGTTTCTAAGTCATTCTCCTCGTGTAGAATGAAATCACGTGGTAGAGACAGGACTGTGATGTCATGTTGATTACTGCTGTAGCCATATTATATCGCTGCATCAGCAGATTATGTTGGCAGCTTGAATACTGTCTTACTCAGACTGCTACTCTTTGTACTATTTTCTTAATGCATCCACTTTTTAATACAGAGGTCTAATGGTTTTGGTAAGGAGTTGCATTTTCCTCAGTGACTACCTTACCGCTGATTTTTTTGCTGCTACTCACATATGCACGTGCTCTATCTAGTGGTTAGAAGGAGAAAGCTTCAGTGCATTCTTACTAAGCCTTGTCCCTTAAAAAGTTTCTTAATACAGCCCATAGATCACCTGAATACCTAAATCACTGTCATTAGTCTTGTTTTTATTTTTTTCTGGAGCATGCGTACACTATTGTGTATCAAACACATACATACAGCAGTGGAAATACCTGAGCCCACCTGATAGGAGTTTCTGGTACGATGGCATTCACTTGAGTTGATCTTCCTTTTACAGCATGTTATCAGGGCTCAGAGAGCCATCAATAATGAAATGGCACATCAGCTTTATGTTCTGCAAGTGCTTACCTTTAACCTTCTGGAAGATAGAATGATGACAAAAATGGATCCACAGGATCAGGTGAGCATCTGTCATGATCTAGTCAAAACAGGAAGAAAACAACTACTCATTGCTATATTTAAAGCTCTTTAGGGAGGAAAAGATACTACGAGGAATACTTGCACGGTTTTTTAGGGGGATCCGAAGCTTGATTATGTCTTCTGATTGTTACAAGATGAGGATGATGAACTGGCTACTGCATTCCTTGTGCAAAAGTGTAACAGCAAAACGACCCGCTCTTTCCCCTTAGCATGTATTTCCATTAGTTAATTTGGTGTCATCTTGAGCTAAAACTCTGTAAACAGCAGCCCAGCATTTATTTGTTTTTGTGTACCTTTCAGAACCAGCAGAGGTTTATTGTCCTTAGTAAAATTACTTCTATAGAGCTAAAGTGAATGTTTAAATGAAAACTGTCTGACCTACCAGAGTTGCAGTTAATTGGTGTTAAAATAAACTCATTTTTGTTGTTCATTTTATTGTTTACTGTGTTCCACTAGTTTTAATACTCTTCATTGTGCACAAATAGACACATACTTCCCTAAAAGCTTTAACTGTAGAGTCAAGCAGCAACAGAAGAGACGTGTTTTGTTTCTTTAATTTTAGTGGTTCCTTTTTCAGGCCCAGTACAAAGGAGAATTTGGTTTCATTTTTTAATAGGGACTTGCATTAAGCTGAAATAGTAATATGAAGGAAAGGATATGGGGAGAGCAAGGTGGTTGTAAACTTAAGCAACATCATGCTGTAGGATTTTGCCCTCCCTGTCTTTCTAGCTTGAGGCAGGCAAGTTTCTGACCCAAGAGAATGGATGTGCGATTACCGTGTGGTGCACATCTCCGTAGACCATGACCAATATAGCACTGTTAGTACTGACAGCGGGATGGTTATCACTGTCTCAAGATGCTCCCAGTGATGTGTAACTGCAATAATCCCTTTCCTGCCTGTTTTCATGATAGCAAAAATGTGCATTTACTGAGACGAATGCAGAGTGCTGAGCCATTTGATTTAGGCCAGTGAAGTGCTTAAGCACTAGTTTAATTTGAAATTGTCATCCGTTGGCTTCTGTGGTTTCGTGCCTGTGGTTAAGATTAAGTATGTAGTTAGTAAGCTTACAAACATGGGTCCAGCTTCTGGAAGTCAGCTCTTGAACATCTACGTGTGAACCCCCCCCCCAAATGGGAAGACCTTAAAAAATGGGAGTCCCAAAGTCATTTGTGTGGACTGTCTTTGAGTAAGAGTTTAGAGTTTAGCTAAAGAAAGGTTGGGCAGTGGAAGAAATGCAGTGTTTTGAAGCAACCTTTGTGGCATTATCTTGCAATTCAAAGTGAGCAGGGTGTTATTTTAACTATTTTTTTTAAACTTGTTTTAACTTAGGCTCAGCGGGATATTATATTTGAACTCCGAAGAATTGCATTTGATGCAGAATCTGAACCTAATAACAGTAGTGGCAGTATTGAGAAACGCAAATCTATGTATACTCGAGACTACAAAAAGCTTGGATTTATTGTGAGTATTTTTGTGTGGTGCTACACTGAATGTGAATGAGTGCATCTGCTGTAACACATTCCATAATCAGTCACTTCTGCTATTACACGAGCTTCTGGTTATTTCGTACATGGGCATAGCATGATTTCCCTTTGTTTTTTTGCAAATGTGGTTAACGTAGGACCTTAAATGACTGCTCTAGCAGAAGTTAGGGTGAATTGGAAAAGATAACTCTCTGAAGATGAAGCATGTAGTTTTGCATGATATGTCATTATAAAAATCTAACTTTTAATAGTTTCTTGGATGAACAGGCATTATCTAATGGACCTATGGAGACCTCTAAAGTTGTTGCACTGTGTTAGTAATGATGTGGACTGATAAGCACAATAAATCAGAGATAGGATTTTATTTATAGTATTTACTTGTAGTATCTTGTGTTTTGGTTGCCTGAAGTCCTTTTTCCTGTGGAGTAGGGGATGCAGAGTCTCTTACCCCTTACCCTAGTCAAATCAGGACGAGTTCTGATCTTGGCTGAAACTGGGTTGGGGTGCAGAATCTGGTGATACTGTTAGGTACATTTATTTCAATGAATAATATCTATCTTTTTGTCCTTCTGGAAACAGAGGAGACACACATGCACACACAAACACATGCACACTGTAATCAGTATCCTAATCTATTGGTTACTGTAGGTTAGTATGCAGTTTGCTTTCTCCTTAGGTAAAATTATATGCTCAATATCCTACGTGAGTCGTAACTATGCTGTTGACCTGGCATGTGTATTCTGAATATAGTACAGAAGCCAAAGTTATGGACTGGGTGATTTTAAACACTACCTTAATGCAAGCTAAGCCCACTGTGCAGTTTGAGCACTCTGCTCAGCTGCATGATACAGGGCTCAGCATTACTGAGTTGCATGGTGGTTTTGGGTGGAGGTTTTCTGGGTTCTGATAGTTGCTTTCATTACTGGTGAGTGAGGAAAAATTGCTGCTGTATCAATGCTGCTAAAGCCGTAAGGAGTCTTACATAAGTAGAGGGGAAGGGAGGAATTTGACATTTCAGGATTGCAATATTGGTAGTGAAATCAGTGCTTTGAAGAAGTTTTTGAATCTCTGTTTCATGAAAGTGTATGAATCCCTCCTCAATTCCAGTGTGATAGAAGACAATGCTATCCCAACACCTAGGATTGGTAACTGCTACAATGAGTTGAGCAGAAGACACTGGGCACCCAAGGCCAGGGCTCAAGTGAAGTGCAGGCCCTGGCTCAGGGAGAAACGGGCTGGATGTAGAGCCTTAGCTTTTGGTGAATGAGAACAGAGATGGAGTCTGACTTTCTATCATAGGAGGAAGAGAAGAAACTGGTGGGAAAAGTAGGAATGGTGGCAAACAAAGATCATGGCATGGGGCCAGAGGGAGTAACGGGGTGTGCCAGAGGTATGGTCAGGTCATGCCTACAGGGACTGTGGCATACGGAAGCATGAGAGAGACCAAGTTTAAAGCAAGCGTCCTCTAATTTGGGCTGAAGCAGGACCTGTTAGGGAGCTCCCAGGTGGCTTTAGGAGAGTCTGTCCTGGGACCGGAGCTTTCCAGCCTTCCATGTGGGCTGTGTTCTGGCTGGACTCCCATGAGGGACTGCCTTCACTCCTTTTGCATCTTTTTGCTCCATCATTAAAGCGCCCTCAGTGTTTTCCGGAACTATTTGTAGAGGGACACATTAGCAGACTGGTGCCCTTAGGGGAGTAAGGGGAGGTTTCTATTCCCCTTTTTGGGCTTTGTGGTGGCACAAAAAGAGACCCGTTTGAGACTGCCTTCAAACGCTGCCATCATCTTGCTGACGGTTGTCAGGATGTGAATTTCTTGAAATGATTAAACATTCTTTTTGGGGGGGGAGAGCAAAACCATATCTAGCCATCAAGTTGTTTCTGAAGCGCTTATTCCCTTTCTTTATGTAAAAATGCAAGGATTCTGTTCATTTCTTCTCTCTGCCACATCAGACAGCTTTGCCACATTGCAAATGAAATGTCCGTAAGGGATAAAGTCCAGATACTGTTTCAGAAGTTTGCAATATCATTAGTAAAACTACATAGTTAGAAATGTACATTTAGTTACAGAAACCACAAGGCCTTTCCAGATGGTTGTGATGACCTATGTGCAGTTTATTATGGGCTAAGAGAGTTTTTCAAATTAGGCAGAATTGAGGAGATTTATTAAAGTGTTGATGAGTACTACAAAAGATGACCCAATCAGGAGATCTAAGATACACTCCACCCTATTGAATTATTTTCTGAGTCAATTGCAAATGAAATCGCCTGAATTCCTGCCCCCTCTCCCCCTTTAAAATCTGCCTTTGGCTGGGAAATATCAAGCAATGTTTACTTTTGGCGATTCTTTTAGCAGAAGTACAGTTTTCCACAGTTTCCAGTAATAGGGTTAGCAGTGTTAGGGATGTCCAAAAGGGCAAGACACATATATCGATAAGAGAAAATCAGTCTTAAAATTTCTGAGCTGCTGAAATGATTCAATTCTGAACAATTCATTGTTTGTGAAGCTTCTGACAGTTTCTTGTATTTGAATACATTTAATTCCCACATGCCATGTGCAGGCATTGCATATAACTCAAGAAAGTGATATCTTCTATCTTTTTGCAGGAATCTTTAAGTATAACTAATTGACATTGAGAAGTTGTAATGAATGTGTGTGTTTAAAGTAGATCTGACCAAATTCCGAGAAATTTAAAAAGGATAAAATGTTAAGAACAGCTGTTCTAGGATCATATCCTCCAAGTTAGGAATATGCAGAGCTCCTGGGTTTTCTGTTTGGTTAGCCGTTTTTTCTTAAATAAAAAATATATATTGAAGTGAACACAAAAAAACAAGATGGAGAATGGTTTCTTAGCACTGCCATGCCACACTGGAAATTACTAGTTGTAACAAAATAAAATGTGGTTCACTATAGGAGACATGAAGTCGGTAAGGAGCTGTCTGACAAAAAGGTGACAATTAAAAGGAAGATTGTTAGCACAGTGGAAAATTCTTCAAAAGGCGGGCCTGGGCTTGACTTTCACAATATTAGTGGTTTTGGCATAAGAGTGCGCTGATGAAATCCTCTAATGAGGCAAATTTGGGAGGCATCAATGAAAGAGAATCGGACTGCTCAGAAATTAGATGACCTTTTGGATTAGAGAAATAGAAAGATAATGTTATTCAGCGATACAGAGTGCAGCAGTGCTCGTTTATGACTCCTTGCAAGAATTTCTGCTCCAGGCAAAGAGCTCATTTATTGGAAGGGCAAAGGTAAGAGAGAGTATGCAATGCAGCCATGGAAAACACAAATGTCAGCCTAGGGTGTGTGTGGAAAGATACTTTCAGAGCAGATGAGAAACTCTTAATGCCATTTTCTGTGTCTCTGAGACATCATCTGTTACACTTTGTACAGTTTTAATTGTAGTTACCTAGACTGACTGAATTCAGGACAAGGGCAGAGGGCAAGGCTTCTGCTGTGATTAGAGAAATGTCTCACAAGAGGTAACTTTAAAAGGTTGGCTTGTTTACCAGGCTGCTGCGGCAGGGTTATCTAGAGCACATTGCCCAGGATTGTGTCGAGACAGCTTTTGGCTATCTCCAGGCCTTCCCTGGAGACTCCGCAACCTCTCTGGGCAACCTGTTCCAGTGCTCGGTCACCCTCTCAGTGAAGCAGTTTTTCCTCATGTTCAGACGGACCTTTCTGTGTTTCAGTTTTGTGCCCGTTGCCTCTTGTCCTGTCGCTGGGCACCACGGAGAAGAGTCTGACCCCATCCTCTTGACACCCTCCCTTCAGATACTTCTACACATTGATAAGATTCCCCCTCAGTCTTCTCTTCTCCAGACTGAACAGGCCCAGCTCTCTCAGCCTTTCCTCGTAAAGAACAAACAGGCATAAATTGACTGAGATTATATATTTAAACTGAAAATTGAAGGTTTCTAAACATCAAAGCAGTGAATTTCTGGAAAAGATTTTAAATTGCAACCATGGGGACAAAATTCATTATTAGTTAAAAGATGATGCTTGATCATTTATGGAAGGGGTTATGTACCAAGTTTGACAGTCATGGATCTAGGAAACAAAACCTATGAGAACTGTAGAGAAAAAACAAAGTTGCTTAGAGAAGTCCGAAGGAAGACATGAATAAGATGGATAATAAATGCCAGTACTGATGATGTGTTAGACATTGCAAAAACTTTCTAATATATGGAGAAGCAGCAGAATAGATATTTGGGAGGATGTCTTGTACAGATCTTTAGGAGGAAGTTAGGCAAACGTCCATCAAGAGTAACAAAAGTGTGCTTGATCCTGCATTGGGCAGCAGGTAGACCTGATGAGCTTCTGAGATTCCTTCCAAGCTTGTTTCTCTTTCATGTCCCAGATAAGCAGCTACATTTTTACTTTTTATCTCATTTTTTTTAAAAAAAAAGTGACCTTACGCCTTTTTCCCCAGCACAATATTCAAATAGTGCTCTGAAGATTAAAAATTAGCAGTTTCTCACAGATTCTTTTGCAGTGTTTTTCATCTTTTCTTTGAATAATTAGTTAGCGTTTGTAATGCCTAGGGTTAGCGTTGGCCATTTGGAAAAGAGAGGGAACTTCCCCTTGATTTTTTTTCTGGCTGAAGAAGGATGCTCAGGACTTTGTTTTTCAGCGCACTTTTTGCTTCCCTCAAAGGCTTGGTTTCTGTTATGCCTGTGTGTCACTTTCTACAAAGTGGAACTGAGTGTATCAAATCAGGCATTTGAAAAAAGAAGAGCATAGTTACTGTCTTACGCCTTACACAGTCTCTCTCAAGTCCGCTTGTAATCCCTAGGAATAGCTTTCTCACTAGGCCAAGTCCACGACTCAAGTCTTAAGTGAGAGGTTTGGCCTGAAGTCTAGATAGTCTGTGTTTATCTCCTTAGTTTCACCAGCAAATGGGAAGTATCTAGTTTGGGACATTACTCTTACGAGCACCAACCATCTATATGTCAGAAGTGACTCCAGTGACTCATTTT